TATATTATATTATATTATATTATATTATATTATATTATATTATATTATATTATATTATATTATAGATAAATGGCAAGACAATGATTGGAAACTATACTGCTATTCAAAAGAGTGGAGGAACTGTGAAACATAATGGTCCAAAAATATCGATCGACCTGGTCAATCCAGCTGTTCTGTGAACTGGGACAGACATTCGCACGCTATAGCGATTGGGTTTGAAGACAGTGAAATGATTGGAAAGGTGTGTGGACTGCTTGGAAATGCTGATGGAAATCCTCATAATGATTTCGTCATGTCAGATGGCAAACGAACATCGGATTCCACTGACTTTGGAAACAGTTGGTTGATTCCTGGAAGGTAAGGACATTTTTCCAGTCAGTATATATATGTTTTATTTCTGGCATGAAATTTACTATTGAATGCGAAACAGCATGTTAGATAAACAAAACGCCGTCGAGTAGTCCCTGGTAGGGTGTACGTACATGTTTTTGTTTAAGACATGTAGTCCCTGGAATTGATATACAGAAAAACAAAAACCAGTGTGCATTACCTGGACAAATAAAATAATGTATATGTTGTGTACAAAAGATCATATTTTTACCGCTGCTTTATTACAAATAATGAATATTTTGTGTCAGTATATGTATAGTAATTTCTTATTTCTTTTTTTTTCAGTTGTCCAACGTTATAACTGAAGTGTCCAGAATTTGACAAGTTGCATGTAAAAATATGGTATTGGTATTGGTGACTGGCCGGTACACAGTTCAAATAAAATTCGTCTAATGAAAGTATTTTTGTCCTGTCTTTTTGAGCAAGAGTGTACTCAATGATTATTGTCATAAATTCAATCATTTTGGCTCAACAAATATTTGAAATTATTATTCCACAGTTTCTGTTCATCTAGGTATTAAATGTGGGTCAGAACAAAAAGCGTTATTTTATTTAGACAATATACAGAACAAAAAGAGTTTACCATACTCACACCTCACAGCGCATTGACTGGCGAAGACGAATATATCAATTAGTGAGCTATTACACGAATATATTGAATATGAGGGAAAATAGAACCAGCAAGAAAAAAAAATCGTAATAGGGAGTAAACATACCACCGAGTACCTGCTACAGCCTGTGTCTCGGTAATTACACGATTTGCTGGACTGCTTATACAGGACCACACTTATGTATCTACTATCAGGGGGAAATTCTTCTACTCTCGGGGTTCTCCACACTTGTCAGGGGGGAAACTCGTCTCGTCTCTATATCGCGTCCCCTTGAGGTACGGGATCGGGAAAGTCACTTTAACTTTACAGTCAAATAAGACACACACAACGAAATACGTTTCAGCTCTCGTCTTAGTCGGTCAATCGAGCACTCTATAAGACACAGCGCCCTGGGGGAAAAATCCCCTTGACTATCGCAAGGCTGACTCAAGACTCTCTTAGACTGCGTCAACACTCGCCCCAAGGCTCTTCAGGACTGCACTCGACTGCGTCAAGACTCGCCCCAAGGCTCTACAGGACTGCCCTAGACTGCGTCTATCGTGCTGTGCTCCCCAAGACCAACTCAAACTCTCTTTATTCATTTTCAAAACTCTAACCAATTACAATGCTGTAAAAAGACTCTAGGGCGTAACCTTCAATCATAAAGCCAATCACACTAAGTACTGAATACGTCATATCGTTTGATTAATCGTTTACTACATTAATAACTATGAATACCAACTGTCGCGACGGTTATCTGGTAATTAGTTCCAAATCACTGAGCCAAGTTCCGTCCAAAACTTCAAATAGGTCTAAACGATGACAGACATAACACAGCAATTCAGCTAATAATCAGCTAATTAAGTCGGTCAACAGATACGCAAAAGCAAATTCATGACACTACACTGATAGTCCCTAATGTGAACTTGTGCAGAATTTTGGTTGGTCAATTGGTTTTGCAATCATATTAGATTGAATTTAAACCGGAAGTGGCTATTTGAGGGGTCAAGCCATCAGATTGACAACTGGT